TCCAAGTATCCCGTAAGAAGTTTACAACAGGCCAAAACCCAGATTCATTTTGATACTCGGAGATTTGTCAATACATAAAAAAACAGATGGGCATTTCTAATGGAGAGCTATGACAAGGTGTGTTGAATTTCTACTACATCTCAATCTTCCTAATGTATGTGGTCTTGTGTAGTGTAAATAAAACGGAATGAAGTTTTTATTTTCTTTTGTGATACAATTTTTTGGGGGTACGTCTTTTGGTGGCTCGGTGCTTGTTCCAGTCCTTCACTTTCAGTTCGAACCTCTTTTTCGGATTTGGCCTCAAGCCGTATTCGGTTCTTTCAGATCGATCAAGTTTTGTTACACACTCAACCTGATATGACCACAAATCAACCACACCATTACTGTCTGATTTATATCGTGAATTTTCAAATGGAGAAGGACACTTACACCAATGGTTAGCAATCCACTCAAGGCACTTGGCACTTTTGCCGCCACACCTGCAAAGCTGATGCAATCCCCAGGTTGAATATTTTGAAAAGTTTCGAGGGCCTCGGAGTTAAGTGAAGAAAAAAGCATGCAGCCATATTGAGACTTTATCCACAGAGATTGCAGAGTCATGGGTCAAACAGATCCACACCATAATTTTAGCTCAGTCAAATGCCTATAATCATTGTTCATTTGGATAATGTCCCACAACACACCTTTCTCTTTTTTATTTCACTAACTTCAACGTGAGTGATCCTCTCGCGAAACGGATGCCGGTGGACCTTTTCAACGCAAGCCCTCCCGAAAAGCTGGGCATTTTCGTAGTGATGTACGTCAGCAAATTCACCTCGGTGAACTTGCCACTTTGACCTCTCTACAATAATGGTTGGTTCGTTTGAGAGAGGACATATGATTAAACCCCCAAAAAGGAAGATTTGACTGAAACTATCGTGGAGAATGGCAGGAACTACATCATTGGTTGATTTAAGTATAATATGATATTGTTGATAGGTTAAATGTGGAGGGTTGAGATTGTAAGATGCAATGGGAGCCTTCAAATGCAATTCATATCCAACACCATGTATACTAATTTTGTTGGAAAGATGTACATTGGCAGCTATCTCAATCATAGTTCTAGTTTGTTGATTATGTCAGAGCTGGGTAGTTTTCTAACTGGTAATTTGAAAGAGTAGTGGAAATTGGGGCCACTGGAGAGACTGATCTAAAACTCCCTCATTATATGGCACATCCTGTTCCTCCCAACAGTGGAGGATAGAGCAGACACTTGTACCGTGGTTATTGCTAACAAAGGCGTCAAACCTCTTCTTGCTGCTTCCCTGCATTCATTTACCGGTGGAATAAGCAGGATTGTGTAGTGATTTAGTCGCAATGGAATTGAACAACTCCTTTGTTCCCTTATCTTGTGAACAACATCTCAATTACTCAATTATCTGACTCCCCGCAATTTCTAGCCTCACAAGTACGCATAGTGGGTTTGGACTGGTTTGTTGCATGTTAGAATTTGCCTTTGACAGGGCCATTTGGCGATTGCAATTACGTCTCATTTAATTGGACCCATGTGGTATGCATGAGCTCTGACATACGTATACGTATACCACAATGTCCACCACAACGTACGCGCGTACGTTGTGGTGACATATCCCACATGATCCCTACCTGCAAAAATATTCCTATCTACAAAGGATAAATGTGAATCTGCTTGCCCGGGCCACAAACATCTGCAGAAGAATTTGATTAGAACTTCCTAGTGTTATACCATGTCTTCTCTTTGGCAGTTTTTTATGCACAATTGCCAGCTCATGCATAAATCTAAAACCATTATTTATGACCCTTGGCCAATGTTTGTCCAACCAAACATCCTTCCTATCTCACAATTATAACATTCAAAGCCTGCATTGAGGTTACAACACGAGTTCTTTGGATCTCACAGAAAATTGAAACTTGATAACAAAACCTTACCGGTAGCTCCAGAATGCTTCAAAAATGAATCCGAGTAAGACATGAATTCCGTAAGAGGAGTCAATAGAACTTCTGACTCAAGGATTGTTGACAAATTTCAGCTACAGAAATTGACAGATGAAATTCAGATATATTTAATAGCGGTTGCGTATGTCTAATCTAAAGCGACGGTTTGGTTCTTCCCGGAGCTGGTGGTTATGTCCAGCATTTCTGGAGATACGGTTTATGCTGAGAACCTAATGAGCAACCCCACCTCCCCCTCTGATTAATGAAGGTCTAGTTTGTCTAGGCCCAATAGGACCCTGCCAAATACCAATTTATGAATAACAAACACACCTTGATTGTTATCGCCCTGGTATATTGCCCAGGATGAATAAATCCCATCATTTCCACCTCATCTCCCGGCATGAATCTTGCAAGGTTTGGTTCGTTTGTTAGAGCATTCCCAATGAGGCGAATTGGTGATGGCTGATAAGCAACAGTATTTCACACATATTCAATATTTCTTGATACTGCAAAACTCAGAGAACTGGAAAACCCACATACATTGTTCTGACCAAGATCTACAGCCATAAGAAATCCTTCCTGAAGTTCGTTATTTCCAACGGAATAATTACTTGTGATCATCATTGTCCCCCTAACACGTAATTTTTCCTCTTGATCCCATGTGACTGCTGGACGCAGATGTCCTGAATGCGGAAGCCAATTTCGGTTTTGAGATATTATGACTGGGAAGGGGTTATTCTGGGTGAGGAGGAGTGTTCCTGCAAAGATGATTTCTGTAGTGGTGTTTGTAAAAGCTGGCTCTCTTGGTGAATTCCAAAGAGTTATATGATAATGTCTCATCTCTTGAGGATAGGTCTGAGCCTGAGCCCGCGGTGAAAAGATCATTGTATTGAAGCTGATGATATCAGTATTAGAACTGTGGAACAGGGTCCTTTCTATAAAGCAATTTCCAAGAATTGATAGCATTGCACCTAGTCCAGAGTAATGTCTTAATGAGGGGGGATCGATGATTTTCAAGCCACTACCCAGGACCTAGGTCCTGCCTTTATAGCTATTTCTCCAGCATTACCGACCGATTTTGTAACATGCATATTCATTCCTTGCATAATAATGTGCAACCTTATGCAAAGATCATGCTAAAAGGAATCAACTGTTATCATCAGTTCTATACATATGGTCATCTGAGGCATGCATCTCCCCATTAACACCGATGGTATTGGAAACAAAGACACAGTGCGTGCTTGCATGATCCACTGTAACATTGGTGACATCACAGACATACATAATTTCGATGTAACATTCATGGTTCCTTGGCTCAAATTTTGATTCCTTGTCAGTACATTTTGGCATGGTCACCTCATTGTACGCGCGTACAATGCGGTGGACATCTCTCATGTGATTTTAACTACTGATATGTTGCTGTGCTCAGTACATAACTGGTATACTCAAGTGGATTTTGGGGCAACAAATATCCCAACCCAATTATATGTTTCTCAGAATCCTTTTCTCACTGCACATATCACATGTATGGCTGTTATTACGGATAATCCATCATTGACGTGTTTTGCCACATCTGAAACACTCAGTGAGTATACATGCACCGTTGTAATGAATCCCTTGCAATAACGTGCTAGGTCCCATGTTCTCTCTCACTGCTTCCTGTAATTCAAAATTTCACTATCTTCTGGCAAGCATTCCTGCTTGCATTTGGCTGGACTTGAATTGAACTCATGAGGAACAAAGTTCCCTCTCATTCATATGTAGAGTTTAGTTATGGACTCATAATATTTGTATCCACACAGTTAATTGTAGAGTATCAGTTGGTCTAGTTGACTTCTGCCTTTGCGCACCAGAAGTTCTTCCCAAGATATATATACAGGCCCTGGGCCCTGGGTATTCTGTTTGAATGAAAAACTGCAATCCGTTCTTCTGTCCATTATGTACTTTGATTTATCTTTGTACTTGATCAAGTAAAACTGCCATTTTTGGAACTCTCAGGAAATGAGATTTACAAACATTCATAATTCATTGAGTCGTTTAATTTCTATTGGCCCGTATTTTTATGTCGACATTCAGATGATTTCTGAGTTGTGCCTTCTGTCAACTATGGATTGTCATTCACAATTGGATGGGGAGTTTTGTGGGAAGTCGGAACGCAGGGGAAATATGTATTTGATATTTCCTCATGTTACCTTCCAAAAATTCAGTCACTTATTCATTTCACTTTTGATTACATAATCATTCAGTACACAATCCCCTAGTTCTCCCCGGGGTTGCCATTCTTGTCGTTCACTTTTCGCTTCTTTGCAAAGGAAATCCTCTTCCAATCATTAGGCATCCCATCATTCAATCATCACACATCTCACCCATCCGTTCAAGTTTCTCAGCTGATCTTCCACCCTGCTGCCCTTCTCAAATTGCCACCTCTTTACCCAACATCTCAAATTTTCCAACAATCAACCTCAGTCTTCCTACACCCCTCACAAACCAATCATGAAGAGAACGCATACTGGTACCGATTCGTTGGGAGCAAGCGCAACCCAAACAGTCGATCCAAAAGTCCATTCGTCTGATCAAACAAACAACCCCCGAAACAATCACAATGTTGCTAGTGTACTTGTCCCCTAACTCTCTCCTCTGCTGTCTGTCGCGATAGCAGAACACTTACCATATTGCTTCTTTCCTTCACACTTGTTTGATGCAGACAATTCAAGACACTTACAATGAAATTGCTCCATCAGTTGCTTGTCAGGATCCGTTAGAACCGCTCCCAATCAACGAAACAATGACCGAACACAATCATGTTGGCCAATACTATAGCAACATCGATTGGACCCATCATCAACTGATGTACACGTTTGTCACACGTCACAGGATTGTTAAAGCATTCAATCAACTACAGCCGCCCTTCCCTCGCACTGGAGCCAGTTCAGCCATCCTCCGTTCACTGATCAATCCACCAACTATGTTCTTCTTCGGAGGATCAAGCATTCAAAATCAACACAACGATCTGTACCGCTTCACCTTTGATCCCAATGACTCCAAACCCAGCCTGACTGCTGGGATTGTCAACACACGTGGACAAGCCCCCGCGCCGCGATCTCATGCTATTCTCTCTGCGACTGATGGCCACCTTTTTCTTTGGGGTGGTCAGACCAATTCCAATGTTCTAGACCACCATCTCTACCGCCTTTCCCTATCAACAAACTACTGGAATCACTACATCATATCCGGACCCTCCCCAGCTCTTTTGTTTGGTTCATCTTCTACGATTTTTGAAGGCTTTCTCTATGTTTATGCCGGCCATGATGTTAATCGATCTGTCCAAGGTGATATGTGGCGGATTGAATTAGACAGTTGTCAGTTTCTAAACCCAACTTCTTACTTGAGCATCAGGCAAACTATATGACACTGACACGTGAATCTTTCTTTTCTAGTACCTTCTGTCCCGTCTTGGGAGTTAATCTCGTCCTCCAAAGATCAAATCTGTCCTCCTGCTCGTACAAGCCACTCTGCGGTAGTTTCTTCAAACTCCTGGATCATCTTCGGTGGAACAGACGGCGTCGACGTTTTCAACGATCTGTGGGAGTATCGCTTCCGTGAAAAAAAGTGGCGTCAAGTTTCTGCCAATGGTTCTGTACCCCCTCCGCGCAAGGATCACCTGGTTACCCAAGTCAAGGATCACATGTATGTCTTTGGTGGACATGATGTTTCTGATCATAAAATTTTTGACTTCTTTGCACTTGACCTTATCAGTAAGCATCCATTTTGAATTTAGTGCTCTCATCCAGCCTCAGTAAAGCTGACTCGACTTATACCAATTCCAGACCATGTTTGGCATAGATTGTCTTCCAATGGCCTTGAGCAAGTAGATCCTTGTGGGAAGTCAGTAGTTGCATGGGATGAAACAATATACGTATTTGGTGGACTAAT